ACACACATGCGCGCGCGCGCACACAACACACACACACACACACACACACACACACGCCCCACCTGCTGCGCGCTGGCACCGCTGTTGAGGTGCAGCGTGGCAAGCCCCAGCAGCGCGTCAGCGCTCGACGGCTCAAGCTCAAGCACCCTGGTGACAAGAGGAAAAGAGGGGCAAGGCCGGCGCTGAGGGTGGGCTTCTACGACGCGGGGCCGCATCACGGGGCGGCTGAAGGCGCCCTGCGACCGGAGCGGCGCAGCGGCGTGGCGCCACGCAGCCTGCTGCCCGGCACAGGCTGCTGCGCCTTTACGTAGGTGTCCGCTGGCTCCGCCGAGGGGGAGGAGGACTTGACAGCGGACGGCCGCGCCGGCGTCCGGCGCGCCAGCTGCCTGAGACCTCGGGACGCCGCGGCCGCGGGGGTGCTGCAGGGGACGCTCTGCCGCCCGTTTGCTGATCTGTTCGCACGCACGCATACACACGCACGCAGGAACAGACACAGACACACACATACGCAGGAAGGCACGCACACGCACACACACACACACACACACACACACACCGACCTCACACGAACACGCACACGCACCTCTCATACGCGGCCTGCGCCAGGTCCATGCGCCCCGCCTTGAAGTAGCACGCCGCCAGCCCCAGCCGCACCTCCGCCGGCGCCCACGGATGCCGCTGCAGCACCTGCTTGTAGCTGCCGGCGGGAGGTTTTCACGCGGCGCGGGCGCGGGGTGGCCGCCGGAAGGGAGGTTTTAGGGTGGGCTGGCAGGGGCGGGGCAGGGCTGGGGGCGGCGTGGCCGGAAACGACGCCGTTTGCAGCTGCAGCCGGCCGAACGCGGCCGCCACTACTGCAGCTGTGGGGGGGTGGGGGGTTCAGCCGCAGAGGCCACCCTGCAGCTGCTTCTGCAGACCCGCGGAGCCGCCCGGTCAGAGCAAAAAAAAACCCTGCCGCAAGCCGAAACGCGCAGCCGGGGGCGTGGACATATCGAGCGGGTTCGGTCCCACTGGGCGCCGCAGCTGCAACCAAATCCGGCTGCTGCAGGGGCTGACCCGACGGCGGCAGAACAGAACAAAACTAAACCAGACCAACACCCACATCGCCAGCGCCTCGCTGAGCCGCCCCGCGTTGAAGTGCAGCTGCGCCTGAGCCAGCTGGCCCGCGCAGTTGGGGCGCCCGTTGTGGGTGCGGGCCGCGGCCTGCTTGAACTCGGCCATGGCTGAATTGAGGTCGCCCTGCGGACCAGGGAGCATGGTTGTTTTGCTGTTGGGTGGGGCGCGGCGCGCCGCGCCTGCCAACACGGCACGTCAGGTCGCGTGGCGCTGCGTGTGTGCCGCATGGCGCCGCATGCCGGAAGCATGGCGCTGCATGCAGCGACTCACGGGCGTGCATGGCAGGGGCCCATGCTGCGCGCGCTGCGCGCACCTTTGCGAGCGCCAGCGCGCCCGACGCCAGCCAGGGCAGCTGCTCGGCGGGCCCCTCCTGCTTCGCCGCGTTGACGCGCGCGAGCGCCGCGCTGTAGTGCTCCTGCTTCGCCGCCTTGTCGGGCTCTGCGCGATACTGCTCCGTGTGGTGCGCTGCGATGCCGCATATCATGAGCACGATCTCGAAGCTGGGGCGGCGCTTGAAGAAGTCCTCGACGGCTTTCAGGAATTCGGGGTCGAGCGAGCTCTGCAGCAGCTCGAGGTACTGCTGCGCGCGCCCCTGCGCCAGGTAGGCGCGCGCCAGGTCCCACCAGTGCTGCAGCGGCACGGCCTCTGATTCCAGGATCGACACGAGGTCCTGGACGTCGGGCAGGTGGTCGATCTGCAGCAGCGTGCCATCCTGGGCAGGCACCCGGATCTGCTCATATGGGGTCCCCATGACCGTTTATATGTATGCTATGGATGGATAAATTAAAATTTGTGTATGTCAGCGCGAGAGCGCCAGTACTTGTCAGATCATGGTTATTCCTATCGCATCCTATAAGCCGTACGTAAACAACAACAACGACTCATAACAAAGGGCAATGCGTGTGGAGAAAGCATACCGTACGGTACAGCGAAACCACCGCACCACGGCAAGTCACTCCTAGTGCTACTGCTGCTGACCCGCGGTGAGTGACGCCGCCGCGCTCACCGCGATTCGAAGGTCCTGGTTCAGCGACGTGTACAGTGCGGCGCTGCACAGGTGTTCCTGAGCGCGTCTCCACGCCAGCGCCGCGGTCAACACAGGCCCTGTTGACCGCTGATCGGCACGCCGTGAGCGGGGCCTTGCCATCCTTGTGGGTTGTGACCATGCTGCCGCACGGGCGCAAGCAGGCTGGTGGGTAAGTGACGCCACAGACTTTGCAGCAGTGGCCTGAAGGTTGCAGCTACCAAGAGGGCCGACCGTCGCCCAGCCGCCACTGGGGTGGGCAGCTCGCAGTGCTTTTCCATCTAGCAGAGGGCAAAGCGCAGCAACCAAGCCTTGGGCCCCTGCCTAATCTACTTCGGGTCGTCAAGCGGCTGAGCATATAAGTTGATGAGCTGAGGACCGTTCATGCTCTGTTTGAGTTTGGTGACACAGCTCGAGCTTTGGTTGGACGAGTTACACCAGGGGGTGGGGGCGCCGATCCGCAGCCTGGCCCGTGGTTACTGTACCGCGTGCTCCGTCAAATGCTGAGTATAATGCCATCCACTTAGCGGCGAGGCAGCACTCACCTCGCGCCGGCATGCAGATCCGCGTCTCGCGCTTGATCAAACCCGCGCGATCTCCATGCTCGGCGACCCCGAGCTCGACGTCTTGGCAGGGATTCTAGTGAAGTTTTGCAGGCGCAAAGCCGGTGGACGTGGAGGCCTGAGCTGCAATGTCACCAGCACGGCCACGGCGCTCGGCATCAGCCAGGCAGACGCCAAGGAGGCACTGCGCCGCGCGGCCACGGCCGCCGCGTGCCAGCTGCGCGAGGCGGACGCGCTGCGGCTGCTGCTGCAGCACCACGCGCCCGCGCGCCTGGAGTACCCGCGCGCGGCGTGCCCGGCGTGCGGCGCGCTGGAGAGCCTGACGGTCAAACGGCTGTGTCACGCGGCGATCTTGACCGCGTGAGTTTTCCCAGCCGCCGCTGCCCCCCCCCCTTGCCCTTGCCCCATCCAAACCAGCCGGGGGCAGCTCGCAATGTGCCCACGCCGCAGCCGCGGCCGGCAACGGCACCACCTTTGGCATACCGCGCGGCAGCCGCCTGCTCGCGCCGGCCGCGACACGTGTTCACAGCCCGCCCTGCTCGCTGTGTTTTCCCCTGCACGGCCCTCTTCGCTTGGGCCACTGCAATCTCATCCGTCGCCCCGACCACCGGATCACCTCCTGCGCCCAGTCCACCTGCCGCACCGCCCCACCTATCAAAGCCATCTGGCACTGACCGCCGTGCTGCGCTGACCCGGGGTCTAATCCCTGCCCACACCTGGTGACTGCATCCCACCGTCAAGACGACGACGTTGGAGGACCCCCTCAGCGGTTCCGTCCGCCCCCTTATTCCCTCCCCTCTTCGCGCACACACACGCTCACACACGCTCACGCACACGCACACACACACACACACACACACACACACACACACAGGCATCACGAGCTCGCGCCCTGCCTGGAGGTGGTGCAGTCCTGCACAGCCTGCGGCGCCCACGTGTACCCGCGGCACTACACCCTCAAAAAGGGCTCCGCGGTGCGCGCGCCGCGCCGGGCGCCCGTCTTCCCCCTTTGCCCAGTCGATGGGCGGGGAGGAAGGGGTGGGCACGGCGGCCCTTTGCGCTGACATCCGCGCGGCATGATGATTGCCAGCTTTACATCCAGCAAACATGTGACACACGCACCCGCAGCAGTCACATTTTACTGTAGTCCTGCCGCTGCCGCGCAGCACCCCCAGCGGCCTCGTTCGGGTGCACATCTCGTAGCGCATGGCGAACCCGCCGTTGCATCCGTCCCGCGCGCCCGCAGGCGGCCCGGGCGCGCCGTGTGGTAGCCCTGGCCATCGAGGAGCTGCCCTTCATCGAGGCGGTCCAGGGGTGAGGAAGCCGCCGGGCAGCTGCTCGGCGGCGGGACGACGCGGGCAGCGGGACGAGCTTGCCGCAACGCGCCGGCCGCCGGCGCACCCAGGCCGCGCCTGGATCTGTTGGTGATGCGCGTGACTTGCCCAATCCATGCCTCCCTCGCGCCTGCCCTGCGGAAACTGTGGAACCTTAACCGTGGCTCTACTGCGCGCGGCGCTCGCAGGTTGTGGGTCCAGGTGGGTTTGAATCCGCCCAGTTGGGGTTGCGCCTTGACGCGTGCGCGCGCGTGTTCAGGCGTGCGCGGCCGTGGCGGACTCAAGGTTGATGCTGATAAGGTTTTGGGCATGAGTCTGCATGAAGCGAATCCGATCAGGGCGTTGGCGCTAATCGTTTCCCGCCTGCAGCAGACGCTGAAGCGGCAAGCGGGTTGTGGCACATGCCAGAACCGGGGCCGTCTCAAGGCGCACAACGCGGCGCCCTTCGATGCTGCCGACCACGCCTCTGCAC